TCTTCTTTTTTTTTTTAATTTGTTTAGGTAAACTAACCGGTCATCTTTTTTATTTTACTGTTTATTATAATTTGTTTTGTCAGGTGTTTGTTTATATATTGTTTTGGGCCGCCTGCAAAATTAAAATGTAGCAAAAAAAAAAAAGTTAATTATAGATATAGTAATTGGTTTTTTAGTTAATTTGTAATTTTAGCAAAATATAGAGGTCTAGGTTTAATGAAAAAATGGAAAATAATGATATACCTAATATCAAATATATTATTAATAGGCTTAAATACTAATGATATACCTAAAATAAAATATATCATGTGATTGATATATTTTATATTAAATATATATCAACTATACTGTGATATACTTCATATTAATATATTGGTTATTTAATAAATATGCATATTATATTAGTAACAGGGGTAAAATTGAAATAACAAAGAAAATAAAAATTTTTTATTTTAAGAATTTTGTCATATTTGCAAAATAAAAAATTGTTAGTATATTTTCAAGACAAGTATTTTAGTAACCCATTAAAATACCTTTTTTTCTAACACTCTTAATTTTAATTAATGTCAGTATACCAATATATTTCAATTAAGGCAATCTCACAAGTCCATATGAATTTAGATCAGCAATGATTGATAACTACCTCTAATTAAGAGGTCATGAGTTCGAATCTCTCATCTCTACGTGTTGTAACAAAAATGTCAGTCTCAAAAAAAAAAAAAAAAGAGTGACTAGAAATTAGAATATATATGAACTTTAGACATTTGTGTTTTATAACCTAAATATTATGCTCCCATAGAATGTTGAATTTATTCCATTTACATAAAAATTCGATCATATAAAATAGTAAATGAATATTTTGAATATATTGTTTGCAGACAACCTTTTTCTTATCACTTCTTCTAACTAAATTTTGTTTATTACATATTTTATCACTTTTTTAAACACTAGTTTTCCTGCCCACTCTTGCCACTCCATCCATAAACAGCAAGTAATTTGTTTTTAGTTAAACAAATATCAAAATTAAGTATCAAAGTAGTTGTATTCTTAAACTTTTTAAATTTCACCAAAGAGAATTATCACAAAATCCTTTTTCAAAGGTTCCATATCTTGCAAAAAGATAAAATAAAATAACATCGTATAAGAAAAAAGAAAGAAAAAAAAAACTAGAAACAACCAACCAAAGGAAGCTTAATAATAAAAAGTCAAAGATTTTAGTTTATTAGAAACAAGAATTTTTAAAATTCAAAGATTTATTAGAAATAATATCAAAAATTTGGAGGCTTATTAGAATCCTTTTTAAAATTCGAGAACTATTAAATACATTTTTAAAAATTAAGAAGCAAACTTATAATTTAATTTTAAAATTATTATAATAATTTGAAATTTTAGTTTTTCAATTGGAAAAAAATCAGTTTAAGAAGGGTCATATCATTTGCATTTTACAATTATTATTAAAATACTTCACGGCAAATTCATCCTACAAATGTTTGATGTAAGAAAAGTAGGTACATTAAAAATAAAAATAAAAAGGTAGGTACATGTAAACATCAAGATATTTAACTTTGAACTAACAATTTACCATTTTTAAATATTGACTATTTCAATTGAATATTTTAGGAAAATTACATGTTTTATTATTTAAGTATTTTTTTTCATTTAATTTGTGTATTGTGGAAAAAGTTTCAATTTAATCTATTATGTTACAATGAGCTACTTATTAGTGTTAACCACAGTTTGTTAACCATAGTTTAATGAATACTATGGTAGTTAGATAGTTTGTTATGATACAAGCTTACAGATTGAATTGTATTTATACTGACCAAATATACCATGTATTCATGTGAGAGAAATAATACAGTTTTCAGATCTCTCCAATTTGTTACCGACTAATACTACTCACCATTATGAATGTAAAAATTGGCTCTGATGATAAACTTACCTGAAATAATATTTAGTGAATTGGCAAAATTTTAAAGGAGAAAAATTAGACATATATATATAAAAAAAAACTCAAAATTATTACACATTCTTTCGAAATTTGGAGGAATTAGAAACTTTGCACTCTTAAACGACATTTTTCATTCTTTAAAGACTCGTTTGATAACGTCCTTTGTTGTTTCTTATTTTTTAGTAAAGAAAAATTAATTGCATGACCCCCATCCAGTGTGATAAAAACAATCTTTTTATCTATGTTTTGAAACAAATTGAAAATAAAAAAAAAATAAAAAAAATTTGTTTTGGTTGTTTCCAATTTGTATACACTTTTGAGAATGCTCCAAAAAGGGGAACAAGAAATATAGTTATTTGACAAAATGTTTAGATTTCTTAAGAAAATTGGAAACAAAAACAAGAAATAAGAATGTTATCAAACGAGTCCTAATTTTCTGCCAATTCAATAAATATTATGGCATGTAAGTTTATTATCAATTAAATTTAGTATTTACCAACCATGAAAGACTAAAATTAAAAAAATGTTAAAAGTTAAAACATGGAAGACTAAATTGAATTTTTCTAAACAATATAGACTGAATTGAAAAAAGTACCCAAATATTAGGACTAAAACTTATTAGCCTTAATGCTTGGTTCATCTAACCTCATTTTTTGCCACACACGTAATATAATTAATTTTTAGAATATAACAACACAAATATAGAGTGAAATTTTGAATATTGAACTGAAAAGTCCTGTTGCCTTAACTAAATAAATTATGTTTGACGCTGTTTATCAATTTTGAGGAACTTAACTATATAATTTCCAATCTTTGAATCAAGCTTTTCGGCACACTTTTCACGTATCGATTTAAATAATTCACCTTTGCAAAAGAAAAAGAAATTAAATAATTCAGCCAGCCACGACCCACCACATGTCATTTTCAAACATTTATTCATACAAATAATATCATATATTCCATTTTTCACCCACACTTCCACCTGAAAAAAAAAAAGAAAAAAGAAATTGGTACCACAAACAATTAATCACTCCAACATATTCATTTATTCTATTCAATAAATTTCACCTTTTTTCTTAAACGTTTGGTGACATACTTCAATATAAATAACATTAGTATAAATTCTTTTTCTGAAATTCTCACCTACACCAGGGAGAAAAATAGACATTTTTTAGGGGGGAAATATCAATTTTTACCCATAAATTTGACAATGTGTACCATATGGGTGAATTTTATTGAATAAGATCTTATGTAAGATAAAACATTGGAATATTTATTTTATTTAGTTTAAGAATTGCAAGATACATCATCGAACTATCAACCATTGGAATGATAAGTAGATACCTCATCTACTAAGTTATGTTTGGATTGACTTAGAATCTTTACCTTAAATTTTAGTTAGTGTTGCAATTTTGAGCTTTCTATAGGCTTTCATTTGAATAATTGTTTAGAAAAATGTCCTCATATAAGATAAGATTAAGAGACGCCCTTTATATAAGAAATATTTTGTATACGACAGTGAGGCCCTCCAAATAACTCAGTCGTAATGTTTATATGTTAAATGATAGAAAAAAAGTATTATTGAAATACTATATTCCCTTTGACACTAACATTTATTCTTATTAAATAATTTTTTTAATATCGATGACTTCTCAATACAATGTTACGTGACGTACCATAAATGGAAGAAGTATTCATACTCTAGTACAAAATTTTTTTCCTAAAATGATGTTCGGACAAAAATAGGAAGGCATTGGGCATTTAATATGACATTTGTATTTTGTTTCCTTCGGTCAAACTCTTAAACTCCACAATCAACTTTGTCTCTCTTGTTTACATTCTCCGGTAACAATGTTCTGATACCAATTGATACGAGTGGTATATAGTAAGACAATGCTCTGGTAGACTGATACCAATCGATACAACGAGAATTTACTAATTTGAAGTAATAAAAATGGAGGAAGGAATCACAAATCTAACACAATTTGAGGTTTGAATCTCTCCCAAAAAGTTCCTACAAATTACCCCAAGTTTTTCCCCCCATCACATCTAGCATTAGCATAGTTATATTTGATATAGTGGCTCTCCATATCCTATCAGGATTCTCAGTAAATTCTGCTGCTTCAGAAAGCAGTTATATTTTAGCTATACAGTAGTATTTCATTCAAGTTTCTGCCACCAAAGCTGGTAAAAAAACAGATGGTTGGCTCACCTATTAGATTTCTTCTATATATATATATATAATTGAGAATGAAAAGATTTGAACTGTTTTTGAGACGACATCCTTAGAAGCTGGCATTGGAGACGTTTAAGGATTGTCGATCGTAATAGCTGACTTGATGCATTGCATCTGCTAAATAACTCACATTTCTCGTCGTCACACCGGCCATGCTGCCCCAAAGATTACAATGAAAAGTGAACATTTTTGTGGGAAGAAAGCAACAATTTTTTGAATACAGCTTTATAAGGTTATAAAGGTACCTCATACGTCCATCCCTGGTCATGTATATATGAAAGTTCCTGGCCAGCTCATCAATCTGCTCACAGTTTAATCCAGAATAGCAAAACATTCCAACCTGCATTTTGCTACAATTCAGTAAATAGATGAATAGCAAAACATTCGAGCTGTATGAAGCCCCTCCCTTTCTTTAGACTTGCAGTAAAACGGAACTTCTGTGTTTACTCAAATCTCTATATTTTACCAAGTCTTGTTATAAGAACTTACCAAGACGCAGTATCAGAGATCCAAAATGTGACAAAAATGAGTTTTATGACATTATTATAATTTAATAACATAAAAAGAAATTAGAGAGCTAATATTATCAATATTCATGAGTTCCATCTCAAAACCAATTGGCTACGAGAGGAGCAGTTCATGTCTATTATAAATTTTGTAAGATCCTGAATGTCCCTCAAGATCATGGCTCTTTTGGTTCGTCGATCTTAACTGAATCTCATTTTTAGACCGGATGTTCGTTCGAGCGTTTTGGGTTTTGATACCATATGAATATTCATGAGATTTCATCTCAAAATCAATAGGAAATGAGAGAAGTAGTCCATGTCTATTATAAACATTTGTTAGGCCCTTATCTTTTTTATGTAGAATCCTTGACAAAGCTTGATTCTGTTTCGAATGCAACCAGTAAGAGTAGTTGGATTCTCATTATTGTTTTAGAATGCAATATTGATAGCAAGTTATATAATGATAATAAAATTTTTAAAAGCATATTGAGAAATATACATGCAATCTAATCGTCAATCTCCTAATATTAAAACTGACCTGCTTGATTATGTGGTCCCAATTGAGAGGAGACTTCAATTTCTCAAGATTATCAAACAAACTAGCTCTCATAGATCGAATACGATCGGCCATGACCTTGAAATGCAAGAGGATCAAAAGCAGATCAGAATCTGTATCTTCCATAGAATCAAAAAGTTACAAAGTTAATTTATCCATTACCTGTAGTTCTTCAATCCATTCAGCCTTCAGATGTGGATCGCTCAAGATTGTTGAGACTAATAACACACCATGAATGGGAGGGCTGCTATACATTGCCCTGGCCAGTCGCAGCAGCTGAGATCTTACTATCTGGCCTTGCTCTTGATCTTTGCTGAGAACACTATAAAATGGGGAAAAATTCGACAATGATGTAACGTCAGAATGCAAGATACAAGCAAGAGGCAGCTAGACTAATCTCACCTATCCGATCCTACTACATTTAATTATCAAATAAGCTCAGAAATATGAAGTAGGTGACAATCCTAATTTGAATCAATTCGCTCTAAATCCTATAAACACCAAAATATTTCAAGTGCTAAAATAATGGAGCAAGAAAATATATATATATATATATATATATATACACTTTACAAGACTGAGACTAGAAAATGTTTAAATACTCGTTTCCCTTTAATATAATTGTGGGTATCTACGTTACATTTCATGTCCACTCCGACTAATATCATGAGACAATTACTCGACACTGTATATTTCCTTATTGATAGCAATCTAGAGTTCAGCCAAGATATACCAACCTTAGACAACCAACCCTGTGTCCGTATAAACCCATATTCTTCGCAAAAGACTGAGCACAGCCCACCATATGTCCATCTTCAAGAAAAAGCCGTATAGCTTTGGCATCCTCTTCAAGATCTCCACTGACAAAACCTTGATACGCCATGTCAAAGAAGGGAAAGTGATGTTTCACCTGGCAGGCAAAGTTGGAAGTTAAGTCACATTATTCACTACAGTAATCATGCAACGGTGGAAGTGGAACATCAAATTCTTCGCAAATACCATCAACTGATTTGAAATTTCCTTCCATTGTTCCATTGTTGGGTCGACACCAGTTGGGTTGTGAGCACAAGGATGGAGCAGAAAGAAAGCACCTTCTGGGGCATTCTACATCAAATAAAAACTAACATATAAGACCAGAAAGTTTCACTTGCCACTGTGAGAAGAAACATTTTTCAGAGGGAAAATTACAATAAGGTTTAAATTTGGTCCTTTATTTTCATATCCGTCAGCTTTCAAACATTCTATTTTTTACATAAAACTTTGTCATTGATTTTTTTATAATGAATTAATGAACAAAGATGTAAAACAAGCCTATGCTTTCTTCATTTACCTGAGTAAATTTCTATTGTCTATATATTGTCTATACATAAGTGTTGAATTTCAAACTGTATTCAAATTTCTGCTAAATAATTATTGAAAAACTAACACATGGCTAAATTGCTAAAATGCATATTAGGGACTAGAATTAAAAAATAAATAAAAATTTAGAAATTAAAATAGAATATAGACTATAGTTGAAAAGACGAAACTAGGTCTTGAAGCTAACATTAAATTCACATCATACCTTGATATCGTCCATTAATGCTCCAAAATTCAAACCCTTTGAATCTGGATGGTAGTAGCGGTAGGTTCTCACTGGCACTTGAGCATCTCTCCAAATGTTATGGTGGCTGCACATCATTTGTAAATTTTAGAGAGAGAGAGAGATAGAGAGAGAGAGGCACAGAGCGTTCAAACGAAACTTACTTAGACCAAGTTGGTTCAGGCAAGAAAATTGGAACATCAGGATGAAAATGCCTCTGAAATTCAGCAAATAGTCGGCATGCTCCAGTTCCAGAAAGTGCCTGAAGTGCAGCAAATCTTCTTTCCTTGATCACATCAGAATCCTTTCCATAAACCAACTTCACACTCTCCTCCACAAATGTTGAACTCGCGGCAGCAGAAATTGACTCTCTAAATTTTGAAACAGAACAAATCCAAGACTCAGCCAAAAAATTAAAAGCAGAAAACTCAACTCCGCTGTTAAACTAAGCATTGATGCTTACAAGAACTCGCTACCGGCAATCTTCGATTCAGCATCCCTAACACATTGAAGCAGCACAGGTTTCCCCTCGTCATCCCGGTAAGCTCCCTTCCAAAAATCAAAACCACGAAAACCTAACAAAAAGTCCACAATCAAAGAAATAGAGGACTAGAGATTGTTTATTACCACTCCAAGGTTGATTTTGTTAGGGCTAGGATCGGCCAGAAAAGACTCAGTAACTCCGATGATCGGATCCTTCGGAGCCGGTTCAATATGATCGAACCATCCGAGACCGAGAGCCTTCGAAGATGAAGTCGAAAAGCACCTTCTCGTCAGTACCAAACTTCTCCACATTACAACTGTTCGTTATCTCTTTCTTTCGCTGTTCCTTCAATTCTTCTCGCCCGAGGGCCAAACAAATGCCTCTGAGGCAAATCTTCTGAAACAAAACACTGAAGTTTAGTGTAGAATCCATGGTTAACGAAGGTTTTCTTTTATATGCTCTACTGAGTCCGATTTTCTTCGTTGCTTCGTTGTTGACGAAGAATGAGGAAGAAAAAACCACCGCTGTTTCTTGTTTCCCGGCAGCCAACGGAAATGATTAGATTTCCTCCGCTGGTTTCAGAAAACCGGGGGACTGAAGACTGAAGAGCTGGTTGGTGAGACGGCCCAAAGTGTTAATGGAGCCCAATAAACTATTTGAGATGTTCAGGCTAGGCTCAGTTTGAATTGGGCACCTGAGTTCGATGTATGGGCTTAGCCCGTCTATTCACATTATTGGGCCGCTCTTTAGGATCTGGTTGGCCCATTTGTTTTGTCAATTCATCAAGAAAGAAAGATTAAGTAAATCTAAATTGAATGTCATAAATAACAAGAATATTCCATTGGAATAATTAACTAAGAGTGGAGAGATTAATTAATTTAAGGTTTAAAATTTAAATACTCTTTTGTCTACGTAATTTATTTTGACAAAAATTCAATTTCATTTAGAGGGTGAGGTGAATAATTTCCAAGTAGTTCGAAACAGTCTAAAGTTAAACCGACTCAAAATTAAACCGATTTGTACAGCTGAATATTTTATTTTTACACGTGGACAAATCACATCTTCCGTTAAATCTAACCTAAATTTTAACTATATGGACTAAATTTTAACCAATTTTAAAATAGGGACTAAATCATTAGTTTGAAAGTTCAAATACTAAATAAATTTTTCAACCTTCAATTTATAATTACGTGTTAGATTTCGTGAATCAAAATAGAACAAAACTCATATGAAAATTTGAGCTTAATTTCGAGTCAAAAAGTAAGAATAGAATTGATTATTTAAACAAAACCATTGTGACGTTTTACCTAATTTTTGTCCCTTACATGCGATGCTGATGTGTTTCCATAGAATCATTAGTAGAAAGAAAAGATTTTGTAATATGGAAGGAAACTTAAGAAATTGATTGACATTTGAGTTAAATATTGAAGAAGGGAAGCTTAATACAAAATTTATTAGTAATTCATCAGGGATTTGAAAAGAGTGTTAATTCAGATTTAAAAAGAATATTACTCATTTAATTCAGATTTTCGTGTTCGATTTCATAAATAAAGATTTATTAAGTTAATATGTAAAACAAAATTGAATATTTAAAGATTTATTAAGTTAATATTTCAAAACCATGTTGAGAATGAGGGAAGTAAGTAATGTCCTATATGTAAAACAAAATTGAATATTTCGTCAACTTGCTCCACAAGTATTTTTTGAGAATTTGTGGCCACAGGATCAATTACTTTATCTAAGACGTGGCAAAATTATTAACACTAGATCATATACTTTGTCCAAAGTCAAGATGCTGCAGATTTATGGCCACTAGATTAACTCTTTGTCCAATGTTAAGATGTGGCAAATCTATAGCCATTCGATCATACACTTTGTTCACGCTAGGACGTGACATATTTGTGGCCATAAAATTATTTGATGGGCAAGTATGCTTGGACTATAAATAGATGGTTCATACTTGGCAATCCATCCCAAAATCTCCAAATCAATTTAGCTAAAGTGTGAGACTTGGTGAGATAAAAATAGAGAGTTTTTTCTTATGAGATATTTTTTCCCTCTACATGACAAATAAAGTTTGTAATGCTTATTTTTATTTAGAGGTATTCTTCTATCCTTGCCCCTAGTTTTTACCTTAATTTGTTTTTGGTTTTCCATATGAAACCACTGTGTCCTTCCCCTCCTCAATCTACTTTTAGCTGCGATCCTACTCTATCTGATATTAATCTTTAACCCAACAGTTTATAACTAGGTCTCTTGTCTTTTCAATATAGGATCTTCATCAGATCAAACACCTATAAAATTTGAATTTTCGAGTCACCAATCAACCCAAAAATTTGAACTTCTGGTGAGCTTGAAAATTTGCACAAAGCTTAACAAGTGATAATCAATATTAAATAGAGAAGAAATAACATTACATCAATTCGACCGTAAGAGGACCTTCTACCCATATATCATGTTAAATCACCATAATCAACTCAAAAAATTTAAACGCGTGGATTAAAGTAAATTTAGTAGTACACATTTTTTTAACAACAAAGAGGGAGAGAGAAGAGGCAAAAACAATTTTCTGAATTTCTAAGAGCTTTAGGGATTTTTTTTTTTTTTTTTTCCCCTTGGGTGGAGAGTTCTACACTTGAAAATTGAAAGAGGGTTGAAAAATTGTTACCCTATACACAGAAGAGTTGTCCTGTTTGGGGTGAAAGAAAATATGAAAGAAAAAGAGAGAAAAATAAAAATAATGTAATAGTTGTTTTTTTATGCCTGCCCATTACTTTCACTTTCACTCCATTCCTTGATTGCTTGTTTTACTGCCTTTTTCACCACTTGGGGCTTTATGATTTTGGTGCCTTCGTTCTGTTCAAAACACCACCCAAATAATTCAGTTTTCACCATCTTTCATTATAACAACAATCAAGATTTTGACACATTATGAGTTATTTACACTTATTTTTATCTTTTTTTCAAAATTACTTTTGGAATGTACTCTAGTCAATGTTAAAAAACAGAAGATTGGTTTTCTTAATATATATATATATATATATATATATATATATATATATATATATATATATATATATATATATATATATATCTCTAAGTTTTTCATTTTTATCATAGAGCAAAATTGTTTACTATGATTCATTTAAAATGTTGGACAAAACTTCAAAAGTTTAGACCAACATTACAAATAAGTTTGTATTGATAACTTTTTTTTTTCTAATTTTCATTAATAAGAGAATTTAGTTTGAGAAACTAACTTTATTTATTTTAAAATTTAGCTGCAATTTCAAAAATAAAATAAAAACAAATCATTTTCACGCCGTGTTAATAACATTATAAACAGACTATTTGGAGAGTACGAATTAGAGGAATATCCTCCATCATAATTGTTGTGAATTTATCTTACCATAAAGATAGAAAAAATCATATGAGAGTTTTCCCTCATAAATTTAGTACTTAAATTTTTTAAATGTATTTGATTGGTTATAAATTTTGAAAAGGATGTCTTTTAATTTTAACTACCATAGCTAAGTCTCTCAATTTTAAAAAAATATCTAATAAATCACTTATGTGTCTACAAAAATACCATAACAACTACAACAACTATGTTTAACGTCTAAAAGTTAACTAAATTTTTTAAAGTTAAAAGACGAATTAGACACAAAAATTGAAAGTTGAGTGTTGGAATTAACAAGTTGAAAAAGTAAAGAGAGAGGTGACCTCTTCCCCAACAGCTTGGAGTTGAAACGAATCGGAGCACGACACGGTGGCGTCGAGGACTTCGAGGCCCAATTTCTCAAAAACTTCTAGAATCCGAACCAGCAATCCCGGTGAATTCCTCTCCAAATACACATTTATCACAAAACCCCTCTCTACGCTCTCCACATTCACCTCCTGCATCTCAATAACTTCAAAATTCAACCACCCAAAATGAAAGGAAAAAAAAAAAAGAAAAATATGTCTAAATGAAAATCCATTGAATTGATATCATATGATTTCAAATTAGGGATGTCCATTTTCTATACAGGAATATGTCTAAATGGAGCGAAAATTCTCGGTTTAGATCCCCCAGGACGGACCCTCCCCACCTCACCTTAAGTTAATACACACAATAAAACAATCATATTAATTATTCTCTATATACATATTAAAAAAAATTGTTTTCTTTTTGCATCATCCATCCGACGAGGTTTTATGATTAAAGAGAAGAAAATTATTTAATTGAGAAATAAATCATAGAAAAAACAATAAATATTAATCATATTAATTACTCTTTATATATCTACAATATCACCCCTTCCATGGGTTTTATGGTTAGAAATTTGTTTAGAAAAAATATTTAATTGAGAAATAAGTTTAAAAACAATAAACGGAAAAAATTATTCACGAGAATCCAATCCTCGTGAATTCTCCGCCTCAATCCCTGTAAAATTTTGTGGATAATTTTGCAGGGATGAGGCTTCTCCGTCCCTGACCTTGAACAACCCTATTTTAGGCGCAGGCAAAATCAAACTCGATTTGATCGATTTTTCAAAGATTAAATTTGGAGAAGAAATTGAGTTTGAAATTGAATAATTGAATGATGAGAAAAGTACAGCACTAGAGCTTGTGGATGCACGAAATTCTTTGGACTTATGATTCTGAGAAGAAGCTGCTGCTTTCTTTCGCTCCCTCGAACCCATTTGGGGGCCACCAAATTTGAACCTCCGCCGTCCGCCGTCCGCCGGCTGCCGTGTCTCCTCTCCTCGCCGGCTGCGCGCCACCAGAGGGCCTTTGCTTCCTCTGCACAGCTCTTAAAATAAAGCAAACCAAGAGCTCCTCTTCATTTATATTTGCTTTTCTTTTTCTTTTTCCTTTTTTTTTTACTTTTTAATATTTTTTGCCATTGCACGAGTGCTTCTGTTTCACCTGGAAATTCAAATTTTGTACTTTTCCAAAGCATATTTACGTGATTGCCCTCCCTTCCCTACTTAAATTTCTCTTAAAAAATTGCCAATTATTTAGTTTATTTATTTTGTTAAAAATTAAAATACAAGTTTGTACTTGAGCAACAATTGTCGTATTTTAAAAAATTTCTAATAAATTTGTTAAGTTTTAAAGTTGCGTTTTTCTGTACTCAAAAGATATATATATATATATATATATTTTCTCTTGTCCTTAGACTTAATTTTTTTTTATAAATAAAATTTTGAACAACTTCCAATCATGTATCTAATGAATTCTCTAACCAACTATATTAGTTTAATGCTTCCTAGTTCATGTTAACTTTATTATCTAAAGATTGCATTATGAGCTGATTTTTCACTCATTCAAGTATTCAGTGGTACTGACAGAATTTAACTACGCAAAATTAAAATTTTTTAGAGATATATATTAGAAACTTTTTAAAATATAAAGAGACTAGATAGAGATACCATGTTTAAAGTTGAAAAGTTTAATTTTAAAATATTTTAAAGCGTATGGACTAAATAAACACAACTTTTTAAAATATAAAGAGATATATTTTGTTTAGAAATTATTCCTTATGTGTGAAGGTTCTTTTAACATGATTAGTAGCTTATTGCCCATTTTCTTAGGAAACTGCTAAAAAAGGTAGAGTATGATGAGGAAAAAGTCCTTTGGTGAAAATCAAGGTACATTTCACAAACCATCAAGATAGATGGGGAAGATTGGGTATTAGAATTTCGAAAGTATCTTGTCAAAGATACTAGATGTTTTGATTTTTCATTCGAGATAAATACCAGTGTCATACCAACTTTACACGTGAGTTGATTAGTACGCTATTGCATAAAATGTAGCATTGATTTACTACRAGAGTCATTCTCATGTTTAAAGTCAAGTTCAACATCTATTTTTGAAAGCTATTGATACACGAGGAGCTATTAAATCCCTACATTTGGTAGATACAAGAAAATTATAATTATTCATGTGTCAATATAATTATTGTTAAAATTCTTTGTTATAAATTAATGCACATACTATGATATATGTCTAATCTATTTGCAATTTATTACACCATATATTAGAATTCTATAATAAGTAGGGTGTTGTATATATTATGCGAGAGTGTGGAATATTAAAAATTATAATTAACCTAGTGGGCAAATACTTTATACATCATCCGACTTAACATATATAATTATATAATTATATATGTAATTATATAATGGGAGTAATAAAAAAAATAGTACTTGAAAGAATGAAATAGATATGAGATCCAAGAAGATCAATGCTAAAAGTTAAATGTTTAGTATATAAAATGCCCTTTGATCTTTTTAGTTGGTTTCTTTCAATTTTGTGCACAATGCTTTGAAATTTTCAATTTCTACCCCATTATTTTATTTTATTTTGAAAAAGAAGGGTATTCATCACAAATTTTTGTTAAAATATCTAGCAAAAGTTAAATAATTAAGGGTAAAACTAAAATTTTTAAAAAGTTAAATGCAAGTACATAAATTAGGTTTATGATTTATTTACTTAAAAATTTCCCTAATCCAAGTACATGATTTTAATTTTGCTCTTTTTTATTTTTTTTAATTCAATAAGACATGATGGATGTGAATCTCCGACCTTTAGTAGAGTAAATATGATATTGATTAGCTGGATTAAGCTTATATTCCTACCACTTTAATAATTTGATATTTTAAAAGTTCTAATTTCAATAAAAAAACTCTTAACAAAAGGTGTTCATGATAGGCTATAAATGAAGTGACATGTGTCCGTGCATGAATCTAGATTAGTTTAAGCTATGGACATGATACTTGACCACATACATTCGAAAACTTAAGTTAGAACTTAGTTAAATTGCATAGAGATCTCGTACCTCTGAGAAGGTGGGGCTCTACCGTTTATRAGGGAGATTTCTCTCTCAAATCGACATTAAGGATTGACTTTTTTCAAGTTGGTAATAGGTGATTTATCGATTTTGTCTTTGACCCAATCTGACATTCAGATATGTATTTCTCGAACTAACGGTTTCACGTGACAAACTCTGAACCTACCCTAGTGAAAATTTTGTCTCTCTTCAACCCATGGAAGACAAAATTGAAACTAAAGAGGCATTGGATATAATTTAGTTATAAAAGAAATAAAAATTTGAGGAGGTCATTTTAGGAAAAAGAGATGGAAAAATAGAGGGGAGAGAGAGAGAGAGAGAGAGAGAAAGGAGCCCCGTGAGAGAAAGTTTGGAGGGATTGACAGCTAAACACCATTTTAACGCAAACTCTTTTTCGCAGATATCGAAGTTATTTTTCTCTCTCTAAAAACTCTGTATTGTCTCATTCCCTCTCTCATCACGTGCAGATTCCTCCACTGAACACGTTAGGCCCTCCCTTTATGCACGTGCCACCCTTCCTCTCCCCTTCACCCCAGTCTTCTTGGACCTTCCCTTCTATATACAAAGAGGTTGACTTCGCCAAAATTTTCCCTTTTTCTTTTGTTTTGTTTTTTATTTTCACTTTTTTTTTTTTTTACTTTCTCTCCCTCTTTCACATCTAATTGAAAAAATTCAAAAAAGATCTGCCTAACACAAACATGGAAGAGTATGGATAAGAAAACTGTGTAAGATATCGAGAACCCTTTAAATCACTACATTACTTGATTCAAATGATTCTCACGAAGGCCAAATTGTACGAGGAAGTCCAATTCATTTTTTTCTTATTTAACTTGAGATTAAGGAAAAATACTTCTTTTTTTATTGTACAATCAAGGAATTAAAAAATAATTATTATAGTATTGTTGTTTCATTTTTTTTAATGAAAACTATCCGGTAAAATAATTAGATAAAATAGCTTCGACCTTGCTACATTTTCTCTTCGTGACCATTTTACCACGGTAGAGGGTGAATTTTAATTTTAAAATTTAAAATTTTCATTAACCAAAACAAGAAATTTAGCTGATTTGTGTTCACGGGATGGGGCAAGGAATGTATTCTTTATCTTTGTCTTGGTTTAGGTGATGGAAATAAAATGTCTACAAAACGAGGAGTTTAAATGGTAATTAGCTACTCGGTTTAAGGCAAATTCTGGTAGTGGACTCAGTCCTCTGAACCCAACCAGAATTAGTTTAAATTGAAATGTCTAAATCTCTGAGATATTCATAAATGAATTAAATTTATCATTAAATTTTTAGATTAAGTATGATATCAGAGACGGAGATCGTGTGTTCGAATCCTGTATTGTTGTTTACTCTTTATTTATATTAATTTCCACTTGTTGGGTTTTGTTGTATTGAGGGATGGTTTATTCATTCTCGATATGATTGCAAAAATACTCGAATCTAGCTACAATCAAGATAGTTAGAAATCATTCAAATCTTGAAAAAAGAAACATCTAAAACAACTTGAAGAATCAATATATGCAAATGAAAAAATTAATCTTAATCAGAAGAAAGCGTGAGTTTAAAGTTAAAATTGCCTTAATTTGACTTCAAAAAAGTAAATATTTTCTTTATTACTATTATTTCTACTATTTCTGTCCATTAAAAGAATAATTAGAGATTCGCCTCAACGCAATTCACTTCCTTTTTTTCCTCTCTTTTTTGAATCAATTATTTCTTCGCATTTCTTAATGAACCAGCCTGCCATGGAAATTGGGGCAACTTCTTTATTTTAAGGTTCAAATGTTTAATTATTTAATCTTTATTTGTTTGATATTACATAACTTTGCTTATTTTATATACAACAACAAGATCATGATGTTACAATAAAATATATGTGGTGAAACTTTCAAAAAGTTAAAATAAGAAAGAAAAAATAGTTGGCAAACACATTTTATATCTCATTCAAAAAAATAAATAAAAAATAGATATTATTAAATGAGATTTTAGATTAAATTAGAATTTTAGTATCTGATCTAACTCACAATCTCTTAGTTAGAGGTATATATCAATTGTCGTTGAACTATGTTCACTTTAACATTTGAACTTTATATTTAATAAGTCTTTAAACATTAAAAAAATATCTAATAGGTCTTTAAACTCTCGTATATGTTTGCTTAATGGATCCTTGAATTTTAGAAAATGACTAATAAATCTCTTACTTATAAGACATAAAATTGAAAGTTGAAAATTTTACTAATCACTTTTTCACACGACTTTAAAAGTCTAGGAACTAAAAATTTTAATCTAACATATAGAGTTTATAATGCACATAAATCTAGTATATCGATAATATATTTAGAAAATTAAATTTAACATAACCTATCATTTTTTATAGTATTAAAATATGTTTGAGGATAGTTTTAGCATGACCAAAAGTATTTTGTCACGAGAAAAAAATTTCTCCCTCAAAATTACCATATCTAAGAGTCACATAAAAGTGATTTTACAAAAGGTCAAAATTATTAAAGTAATTTGTGATAAAACACTTTTTTAGAGTGTTTTTTTTTTTTACCAAAATACTTAACCAAAAGACTTCAAACACACTTTTATGAGTATAAAGTTAAATATCGAAGTAATTTACTCATCCAATAAATATTCCTAACCGCATAGTAGGTGATACCACAAAGCCCAAGACTCTTGACACTATGTCATCTCCCACAAGACGAAAATATTTAAATTTACTATAACCTACCAACTTAAATTCCATAAAGTGCGATGATACAATTGAAAAGATCATATAGCAACATTTAAATCTCGACTTTTTTTTTATAATATAGCTCTTTAGTTTTTTACCCCTATAACTCGAGACATTCGTGTTCGATCAAATGCCTAAATTCAAGTGACATCGACAATTCTTCTTTCATATTAAGCCTATTCAAATATTTGAATCCGAGACTTCATGATAGATGATACACAAAGTCTAATGCCTTTGTCAATGGAGTCTTCCGCGTCTTCGGCGAGGGGTTTAAATCTCAAAAATCGAAGTAGAAAGAGGAAAATCAAGAAGTTAAGTTGCTAT